TCTGTCTCAGCAACCACACCCACCGGCTCCCATCTCAGCGCCGGTGTGCAGGCCACCCCGAGTTCACTTCACAACGACGACCCCAAAGCACCGGAGTCGTAATGCCGAAGGGCCAGAGGGGGGCCGTGAAGTGCTCTCCATGAGTGAGAGGCGAGTCCAGGACAATTTGGAGACGTTTTCAGAGAGACCACACTCACATACTTTTTTACGGTCTATTGTTATATTATTGTGGTTGTCCATTTCTCATTGTGCCTCGTCTATACATTAAGCTTTGTCATAGATACGCATATATAGGAAAAACACAGTCTGTGTCCAGTTTGGTATCATCTGTGGTTTTGGGCATCCCCGGGGGTCTGGTAATGTAACCCCCGTGGATAAGGGGGGGAGGCGACTGTCACCAGAACGCAATTTATTTTGGCCAACTGTCCCTTTAAAACTTATTTAGGGGAAAGTTGTTTTGATCCCTGGATGGAAAGGTAAATGTCTTAAGATTTTTCTTATCCTTGGTTTTAACATACCCGTTCATTTCCGCGTAGGTTGTACCACATACAGGTCAACAGCGATCGAGGAGCAACAATTCCGTGCAGTGCCGCCTGAATTCAACAGCACCAACAAGACACATGATCGGTGCTGATCCATCCCCGGTCTCCGCACAGGAGGGCAGGAGGCTGTGCTTAGCAACGCGGTGCAGCTGGCGGGTCCCTGCCGGTCTCCCCATGGATTGTGCATGGCTGTGCCTGACCCAGACCTTGCAGCCCGAGAAAGGGTGTAAGAATTCCTACCCGACCAGCCTCCCACTACGCAGGACACGTGCTATGGGTGTTTGCGACTATCCTGTGGGTTCCTGGGGGTCCCCCTCACCTGCTTTCCCCTCACCTGCAGGAAGGCCGAAGGCCAGGACTCACCTGCCCCGTGATGACCCGTGGGAAACAGCACTCACACTGCCGAGCTCCGGGATGCATGATCCCAGCACGGCCACCACCACTGTGACTTGCCTGCCAGCAGCTGGGCACAGTGACCTCGCCTGCAGGTGGTCCAGCAGGAGCCCGGCATTGGTCGCTGTGCGTCCCAGTCCCAGGGGGTGCCTGCCGAGCTCACTGCACTGGCCCCCGTGGACGCCTTTCCCGCCGGGCCCTTCCAACTGAGAAAACCTCGTCCCCAATCCCCTCAACTCCATCCTTCAGGCCTGTGTAACCTGGATACCAGCAAGGAGGCTGAGCGTGTTTCGCCCAGCTCTGCACTGCCTACCTCTGCAGCTCCTCAGGGTCTCCCCATGGGAGCGGGCGGGGCTTACAGGGAGGAGGAACTCGGAATCCGCTCCGCCAAGCCTAGGGCAGAGTTGGAACTTGAACCGAAAACGACAACACACAATGCATTTAAATCATGTTAGCAGCCAGTCAGAACTAAAACAGCTTAAACAAACTGTCTGTGTTCCCATATTACCAAAGACCACATGAAAGATAAGCACACTTTTCAGTGCGTTTCTTTGAAGAGGAAGTATCTTTCCAAATTTTCTGTGAAGGAATTTCTTTTCTGAATACACTGAAGAAAGGTCAAACTTTAAAGATGCAATTGTTATAGTTAAAACTGTATCAAATAGAGTTTAGCAAAGGCAGTGGCCCCATAAATGTCTTTCCAGTCCCTTTGGTTTAGAGAATTATTTATGAGATTTGTCCTTGATACAACTTAAGCCAAAATAGAAAGAGATTAGAGAATACTGAAGTACAAACACTAAAGCCTGAAGCATAAAGTACCTACTTAAAAGGACACAAAAGTGTCAATTATGGATATAAAAATGCTAGTGATAGAAATGTCTCATTAAACGTGCCCTCGTCGGAGAAAAACACAAAAAGGTGTTCTTTATGACCTGCACGCTTACTGCACAGGTGGTCACCAAGAGCCTGTGGGGCCCACAGCAAGGCCCTGGGCAGGTCACCAGCAGGACAGAAGGTGACGTGGCGTCTTCGCTCCTGAGGTGCCTGCCATCCAGAGAAGGCGGCAAACTCACATGAGCATGCACACCCCCTCCCCCACACACACACATCAGACACCAACATAATAATTCAGTCCCGTGTTTCCTCCAACTGTAACCTGTTTCAGAATTAGCTGGAGGCTCTGTCAGCCACCCTCGGAGACCCCAGTCCTCAAGTCTGGGGACAGTCCCAGCGCCTCCGGGATTCTGAGGCAGCAACCCTGGAGCCTCAGCTGGAGAGGGCCTGCGCTTCCCTGTGACCCTCCATCCCGTCCCAGAGCCTGTCCTGCTGAACCCTCGGGAAAACCTGGAGTAAAAGAGCGGAGGAGGTAAACAAATGGAGGAGGAGGGCCCAGCTCCACACTGAAGGGAACAAGGATAGAAAGCCCAGCGATATGAGCAGCTCCAGGCTCTTCAGGGGGCAGGCGCCCTCAGGGGACCTCTGGAGACACCAAAGACAACTGTGTGCAAAGCCACACTCTGAACCCCCCTCTGGAACTGAGGACAGGAGACTGGACTGTGTGCCTCACAGGCAGTGAGGCCAGGTCCCTCCCATTCGCTGGGAGCCCTGGACCCCAGGCCAGGCCCGATTCGGCTGAATAAAGTCATTGTCCCCTCCGACAGAGACAGGACTCCGCGGAGCCCACCCTGTCGGCCGGCATTCCTCCGGCGGGGGGAGAACAGCTCCTCTGTTCGTGTCCCCCCACAGAAATATACCGCTCGCTGTGTTCTGATCGGGGGAAGTACAAAACCACAGCGGAGCAGGTCGAGCACAGAAGCAGTTGGTTGTTACTTGTTCCTTTCCTCGGCCGGCCGCGCCCCAGGTCCCCCCAGGTCCCCCCCAAAGGGGCTTGGAACCCTGCGTCCGGTCGATTTTCTCCCTGAGGTTGTGCGGCGACTTCCCACATCGCAGCTGCACCACTTCCACAGAGAGCTGACCCTACGTTAGTTTTCATAACAGCTAAATCAAAAGTTCAGATGCCGATAAAATATTCGACATTTAAAAGTGTCCCGAGACTGTCATGAGCTCTGGACAGAAAAGATCGGCTGGGAAGGTAGGTCAGTGTGGACAGAGCAGGCGGAAGAGGAGGGCGTCCCAGGGGGCAGTGGCAGGGGCAGGGCTGAGGTCGCCCAGCCTGACCTCAGAGACGTCCATGCAGGGGGATGGATGCACCAGGCCGAGCACCGGGCTGCGGGCCAGCCCAGGAAGGAAGGAAGGGGCAGTGAGGACGGGGTGGACAGGACAGGAGACCCGGATTTCCGAGTGGACTGCTCAGAGGGGACCTGCTTGGAGCCCCCCTCTGGGGCCAGAGCTCCCAGAAGGGCAAGGACACTGGGCTGATGTGACCATGTGCTCTGGTGCGTGGTCAGCAGCAAGGAGCCTTGAGCAAGCCACTTAGTCCCTCGTGTCCCCTCCATAAACTGACATTCTTGGCTAAATGACCCCTAAGGTTTCTTCTGGTTTAACTGCATGGCTCCCTGAAGTCTTACTGACCCAGGAGAGAAAGGGTGGGGAAGAGAGGACACAGGAAGAGAGAGAGGTTCTCAGGTGGGAAATTGAGGGGTCTGTGGGGACCAGGAGGAGGAGCAAGTCACAGTCCTGAAGTGGCCTTTTAAAGGACACAGGCCACCGGGCACCCTGTAGCAAGAAGAAATGTATTAGCCTTTCCAAGCCTCTGGGGAAGACCAGCTGCAGAGGAGAAACTTGTGTCCAGGAAAACTTACACAGTGCAATTTGAGAAAGCCCATTGCCTTGGAATGGTTCCCCACTGACTTCAAGGCCTCTGCCCTCCCAAGGGACACCCGGCTCCCACCTCACCCAGCTCTCCAAAGCGACCTTGCGGCCCGGGAACACAGCCCATTTCACTTGGAGGCTTGAGTCTAACTTGCAACCTTCAACAACCATCTATTTGGGGAAATGCACATTTTATATATGTATTTACACGGATACAGACACAGGTTTATCCATGCATTTTATATGTTTACATATATGTATATGTATTTGCCTGCATGCACATGTGTGCATGTGTGCTCTCACAGCCCAGCTGGAAGGTGGGTGTGAGGAACATGGATGGGGCAGCCTGCTCTTCCCGGGCCTCAGAAGTGCATGGAACAGCGGGGCTGTCAGAGAGCGGGACAGCCCTGCCCGGCAGCCCTGTGGCCCCCGGGCCAGCCAGGACGGTGCTGACCCTGAGTCCAGGGCTCCTTCCTACGCTCAAGCCACTGACCTCGCTCTGACATTGAATTTGCCCGATATCCCCCTGCCTTCTCTATATTTAAGCCATGCGGTCATATACGTTTCATAAAAATTAGATTAGTTACACCCAAATCTAGTGTCTAAAGTGGAAGAGGCTGGTTCCACTCCCTTCAGTGGCGATCAAGGGGCCGTGTTTAGAAACAGACACCATGTGATGAAAAACAAAGACAAAAAAATCTCTTTGACTTACTGCAGCTGACGAATGGGGTATTTGCTGTTGCTTAAAGGAAGAAATTATTAAATACAGAGAAAAATTGACTTTAAGCAACATCCTGTGGCCAATTCCCACTCTATCTGTATAATATGGGAAAGGGGATTGTAATGCAACAGGGCGGATCAGTTCCCACAGTTCCGAAGCTCCGCTCTGACGTCACTGAGGTGCCTACTCTTATTTTATAAGTAAGAATCCACGTGGACAACAACGGTGCGGTGATTGCCGGGCAAGACGGGGTGTAGGGGACTAAATGGTACTGGAAAAATAGAGTAAAGATTAAAAATAAAAATAATTCAAGTATGATTTGAAAGCGAGAGGGCACATTTTCCAAGAACAATGAGAATGGCAGCTTTTACAGTAGTCTCTGCTTAGAAAACCAGAGACTGGTCTGCCAATAATGTCCCTCTCATCAGGAGTCAGAACAGGGTTATGTAATATAAACTTCGCCCTGAATTTTGGCTTTGTTAATGGATTTGTCTTCAGCATGTTTTGTTTTGTTAAATGATGTGCGCGTTTTACTTTTTTAGGAACAGACGCCGAAACCCAGAGCCGTGTACCTGGGTCTGTTTGGGGCCGATGTCCATTCTCTCCAGGAGGTTGTTCAGGAACTCAGTCACACTGGCCCAGGGGTAGATGCTGTTGGAGCCGTCCAGCACGATGACAATGTCCAGCTGGGTGCTGCACTCTGCGGGAGAGGAAGCCGACCGCGCACACTGGGACGGGGGCTGCCTTTGGAGAGCTAGGGGTAGTGCTTTCTGGGCCGCAAGAGGCTTCCTCTGAAACAGTAACTGATGCTGTCCAAAGCGGACACGTTGCTCTCACAATCAGAAAAAGCAGCGTTAGAGCAAGAGTCATGGCATTCCGTAACAGTGGGCCTGCAGTCCTGGTCAATAAACCTCGTCTCTACCTCATTTTAATTAACATTGTATGAGTTGGCTTTGGAAATGGTCTCAGTGTGAATTTTATATAACAGTTCCCATTCTACATGCATTTCACATGAGGTGACTATCGCCCAGAGTCTCATCCTTTAAACATAAACAATGTGATCGCTTTAGCTACGATGTTTAAACAGGACTCTGTAATGGTCGTTTACACTAACACCAACTCCAGAAATAGTGGCGAGGTTTGGTGATATATTGGCACAGCAAACATGGACCTAAATTGGTAACGCCGGTAGCTGAGAAAACAGTGCAAGCTACTTGGTATGGTCTGGTGCACGCCCCGCCCCCTTCATCGCAGGCGCTTCTGGCAGGAAAGAGCCTTGAACAAAATCCGTACCTTGCACGGGGGCAATGGAATTCACGACTTGAAAAGCGGGGCTGACGTCGGAACAGATTCCCGTGGTGTAATGCAAATGTCCACATCTGTAGGCATAGAGGGGCCCACAGGCCTTGAAAAAAAAAAAGGAAAACTATAAGATTAAAAAGTATACAGCGGACTCGAGGTAGCCTGGCAATGATGGCTTTTCTGGTTCGCCAGCTGCCTTGACCCTCTGCTTTCTTACCAGAAACCCTCCATGGGGGTTGGTGACCAGCGTGGACCCGAACGTCATGTTCTCCTTTACTTCTGTGACATTGGGGATCGATGTATTAACTGAAAATAGAAGAAAATCATATGGAGGTGAAAAGCAGAGTGACGCCGTCTTCTCACTAAAACGTTCTCTTTGCTCTGCTCGGGCCATAGCACATTCTTCTCGTTTGACTACACAGTGTCCAGTGTGGGAGTAAGGGCTCTAAGGGACAAGCCAAGGCTGAAATGCAGTGGCCGTCCCAGGCACTTCGTCTGGGTCACCGTCCCAAACAGTGTCGCCGAACTGTGAAAGAATGCAGAACCGCCAGGACAACGGGAATGTGGGCTTGTCTTTCACACATTTTTGCTAATTAAAACAGATACAGTTTTTAGCCTCATGATAGTGTGGACATGATATGAACTTACACACGTTTCTTACCTACTATCTGAATATGTTATAAGCAACCAATTGTTAGAAGTGACAAGTCATGATGAGATGAAACATGACTTCTGGAGGGAAGAAGGCAAATGGGTAGAAGAGCAGAAATGAAAACTCAAATATATATTTTTTGACCAATGATTTTAACATCATGGGGACATTGTGAGGGTTACAAAGAAGACTGGAGCAAGGTTAGAGCGGTGGTCAGGAAGTTCGGATTAAAAAACAAAGACACAGAGAAGGCACTGCTTTTTGACATTCCAAACAGGAATGTCAGGTCCTGAAGCATGCCAACTGGCAAAACTGGCAAGAAGTTTATTAATTCATATTTTTAAAAAAAACAACTGGACAGGAAAAGCAAAAGTTTCTAAACACTGCTTAGCAGAGCGTGGACATACTTGAACGTAACAAAACTCAATTTCAAGAAAGACCTGCCTAACTGTTCATGCCTAAAAGTTTTTCCTACCTTAAGACTGTTTATATTTAGATTGAATGGGGGGAATGGGAGCAGAGATTCCTGAATGTCACACCGACGTCTGAATCTCAAGGTCGGTCTTTGTCCCGGAGTTCGGTCTGACTGGCTATGGACGCAACCGCAACTGTGCTACAATCTGCAACTGTCTCAGACAATGCGGGTTAGAGTTTTCTGACCTGGGCAGAAACTTTCCCGCTGGTCTGGCTGTGGCTAAAATCTCCAGCCACTATAAAGACTGTGTTGGACTCCAGTGATGGCGGAGTAGCCCCTGTCAGCATAGCTGTTTAACAAATTAGCGCCATACACTACAGGGAAAGGAGCCGCGGAGTAGGAAACAGTCGTCTGGAGGCAGCGGACCGCAGCCCGAAGCAGAAACTGGAGGGGAGCCTGTGCTTGTGAGAAGGGATGAGCAGGGGGTGCGCTTCCTGTTTTGTGTTTCTTTGCTTTCCCGAAGGGAAGGCCCGAGTCCGTGGCTAAACCTCAAAGAGAAGTCCTTCAGTCTTGAAAGAAGAGAGGACAGAAATTGGGGCAATGCTGGCAACTGTTAAGTGTGGGGGTGTGTTCCTGGGAAAGCGGAGCCACCATAGGCGATCTCTCTCTCTCTCTCTCTCTCTCTCTCTCTCTCTCACACACACACACACACACACACACACACACACATCCTGTCCGTGTTTCGGGATGACCCGAACTGCACGTGCACAGGGTACCAAGAGCCAGCCTCCCGCTGCCGTTTGGAAACAGAGTTCAGCCGAGTAAACTGACCGAGAAAACACCAAGTTAAGACTAGTCAAAGGCAAAGCACACCCAGAGCTCCACAGTTACAACTCAAGAGCACAATCCAGGATATGGTGCCAGATCACCCCACAGGAGGAGACACGAAAATGCGCCCCAACCTCCAGAGGGAGCCGTAAAGGAGGAGCGATGCTGTGATGCCCCAGACGTTGGAATTATCAGGAGCAGATGCTAAAGCAGCGGTTGTAACTATGCTCACGAATGTGAAGGAAAACATGCTCATAATAAACAAACGAACAAGATACTCCTTAAAAAGGAGAACTAAAAATATGGTATTTGAAATAAACGCACAAGCTGTGAGCTGTTTCTGTGGCATTGGGTGTCGTTTGGAACGAGGACAGGTTTCTAGCCCCTGGGGAGCCCTGGTGGGAAGTTTCTAGTCACTTTCTAACCCTAGCAACGCTTCTATCCAATACCTCTATCTCAACCTAAATCTACCACACACTCTTCTCTTTTAATACTTCAATTTATCATAGTTTGCTGTGCATAATGCATACTGTATTACCCAAATTTCGGAGGGAAAACCAAGGACATTCATTATACATGGGCATAATGATTACACGCCGTTGGAATAATAATCCCATGTACAATGCACACGAAGCTTGGTGCACATGCTACATGGCAAATATAGGGTATCTGTTACAATTTCCTTATGCTACTTTCTTTAGAAAAACAAACACTAAGCTAACTTTTGTGGGGGGATGGATGGGCAGGTTTATTTGCAAACGTTCTTTCTGGTCAGCACTGGGTTACAGAGGCTGCTGACAATGAGCGGTGGGGGTAAGAGGGACAAAACTGGTAAGATCTAAATCTATGGATATTTTGTAAGGAGTTTCTACAGCAAATGAAGGGCAGAGCGAGTCAAAATGTCATCTCATGTAAAGGTGAATGATAAGGACTGAAGCATGGTTACAGGTTACTTTGGACGTCTTCTCGAGTTCGTTGGAAGTGGTTCTCGACTCGAGCACTCGGAATAGTTTAGGCCCGGCTGTGACGTTTGGATTTTCCATACCTGGTAGATGCAACTTCATGCAAGGCAACGGCTCTCCTCTGCCCACGGGACACTTGTAGACGTCCCCGGTCCTGTTCCTGGGCTGGCCGGCCAGCGGGGAGCCGATGAGCACCCTGCAGTGAGACAGCGTGGTCAGCACTCCCGAGCGGCCCATGCCTCCCATTTCAGCCATGCTGCGTCCACTCTGGGACACCGGCACCAGTTCCCACAGACACCACCAGACAGTCACCCCCTGTCACTGCCGTGACGTTCCTACATGAGCAGAGTGTCTCCTCTGAACTGCAGACAGAGTTGAATTTTTTAAAAAAACCCATAAAATATAAAGGAGAGAGAGCTCAGAACACGTCATTTTATTTTATATTACTTTATTGTATTTTTTAATTTGGGGGCTGAAGTGATAATTATTGGTTAAGGCTGCAGCTGTGTTAATTGATAAAACACACATGGAAGTATAAATGAGTTTTTCTCAACAGGAACTGACAATTTAATAAAGAAGTTAGGAGCTATAAACGTTTGGTCATCATAAGATTTACTATTAGTATATGCTAGTTTGTAAGTACTTAGAAAACCAGGACAGTTTTGAGACCCAGGTTAAAATCATTCATGTCTTTTCAGACAATAAAAAAAATCATTCTGATAATGATTAACAGAAAAATATAACCATGATTTATCATGGTGTCAGCGAGCCATTCGACCAGGTTTCTTGTGGTATCAGAAATAAGACGGATGAATGTGGCTGATTGTCCATGCTGCTGATTCCTTACTGGTGGAATAGTTACATCCACGGACGCAGGCTGCTGGGGACCGAGTGCCATGGACACAGACTGCTGGGGACCCAGTGCCACGGACACGGGCTGCTGGGGGCCGAGTGCCATGGATATAGGCTGCTGGGGGCCGAGTGCCATGGATATAGGCTGCTGGGGACCGAGTGACACGGACACAGACTGCTGGGGACCCAGTGCCACGGACACGGGCTGCTGGGGACCCAGTGCCACGGACACGGGCTGCTGGGGGCCGAGTGCCATGGATATAGGCTGCTGGGGGCCGAGTGCCATGGATATAGGCTGCTGGGGACCGAGTGACACGGACACAGGCTGCTGGTAGCCAAAGGACCCCGGTTACGTGTCATCGGCTGCCCCAGGGATGGGGGTGGTCTTAGCCTGCATCTTCACTACCCTCTCGGAGGAAGACACAAGGAGTGTGAGGCACGCATCCAGTACATCCACGATGCCCACTGGGGCATGCGGAAGTGTCTCAACATTCTGGTGGAAGAATCCTAAACAAACTAGTTAAAGTTTCTGCAAAAGCCTAGGTAAACAACTTCACGGACCCCACAGGGCGTGGGCAGCCTGACTGACTGGGACTCTGTGTGAAAGCATGCGGGGGAGTTTGTTGACAGAAAGCTCCCACGAGGCCATAGGGCATCGCAGTGCCAGAATCTAATGTGACCACAGGCTCGTTGCTGGAAGGAGGTGCTCTGGTCCAGGAGAGCGAGGGCCCCTGTGTGCTCTGCCTGGTCAGGCCGCCTCTGGATCTCCCACCCAAGGGGGCAGAGGTGCAGTGGAACGTATTTCCAAGACGATGGATGACTCAGATGGTTAAGCGTCTGGCAGTGTTGTCTGACGTGAGATGCTTGGGGGTTGGTTGGGGATGTTTGGCCCAGAGACAAAATGTCTTAAGGAGAGTTGAGACATTATGTAGGGGCGTGGGTGGATAAAGCATGCATTTAAAAATATTTAAATATTCCAAAGTCTGTCATACTGAAAAGGGATGGGATGCACTTTGAGCAGGTCCTTTGAGGGAAGCTAGCATCAATGCAAATAAGTTTTGTAACAATCGCAAACACTGAATTGTTGAAGAGAACCCCTGAGACATAGTTATAATATAAGGCCTTTGAAAAGCCATTTCTGATATGAATAAATAGCCATAAAAATAGTCAAGCCCTTGAATACATAATTCTTACTTCTGGGAAAATGACCTAAATTAAGGGGGAAAGCTTAATGCATAAGGATAATGCTCAAAGTGTTACATACATAGTAATGAAAGACTAAAAGAAGCATAATCAACAACAGCAAGGAGTAATTAATTATCTCAGGGTCCTTCTTTAGGATATTGTGCAGTTACAAAAAAATGATAGGTAATGAGAACAAAGTTGGGTTCAAAATTATTTTTGACCTAATGTAGAGTAAAACCTTCCTCTCTTAATGACAATCTAGGACTGAACTGAAAGTGAAATGCACCAAGTCCCATTCGACACACTCATCACGACCCCAGTGACAATAACGGCTGGCATGTGACGGTTGGACTCTGCGGTCCAGACCCCGCTCTGGCTTCATCCCCTCCAGGCCATACAAGCTCTGAAGCCAGACTTCATGATTCGGATCACAGCTTTGCCACTCACGTAACTGCATGGTTTAGGACGCGGCAGTACCCCCTGGTGCCTCAGTTTCTTCATCCGTGAAATGGGAATGATAAGAGTGGCTACCTCACAGGACCACCATGAAAATGAAATGCTAATGCAGGCCAAGTGCCTAAAAAAAGTATTTGGCTCATCAAATGTGCTATTTATGCCTTAGTTCTCCTTCTTATTTTTATCTTTTTTTTTTCAGAGGATGAAACAGCTACCTGGATGTAAAACAGATTAAAACAGAACGCACTAAAAACATAAATGGTATTAGGAAGTTATGGTTAGGTTCTTTTGCCCCCAATATTTTCAAAGCTTTTTATAATGTGATTGATGCCATTACTTTTATAGTTAAAACATTTTGGAGAAGAGATCTGAGCCTACTGTTATGGAAAGTCCCTAAGAGGAGGCTCGGTAGACCGATGACTGTTTACTGAGAACATTCTACAGGCGCGGCGTTTTTTGGCAGGCCCTGGGGATATAAAATGGGTAAAACGCAATTTGGGGTTGTTTAAACTTGGAGGGAAAGCAGGTCTGCAATATGAATGCACTGTTACAATACAGATCGGGCCTGAACTTCAACCGAGTCTCGGTGGCCAGAAAAGTGAGTTCATGCAGCTCCCTGGCCTCCGTCAGAGTAGGCTTTGCACCTGGGAAGGTAAACAGGGTTCTGGTCATGAACACCCCTGTGGTCTCCTTCAAGAACTTGAGGTGTGTTTCACAGAGGAGGGGGTTGGTAACCACTGAGGCTTCCAAAGAGGGGCGAGACATGAGCAACTCTGATCTATAGAACTTAGCTGCTTACAGTGCCATGGACAAGTTAGGGAGGGGGCAAAGGAGACCCGGAGAGGGAAGGTAAGAGGTCCGAAAGTTACCCAGGGGACAGGAGGGCCTAATCACGGAGCGGAAAGGGTAACCAATTCTGGAAATACTTAGGATATCAGCCGTCACATTTGGGGTTCCTCCCAAAGTGGACCCCATGAGGACTTTGGTCTGGGTAGCTTTTGGGGAGGCGACTCTGAGAATGCGCAGGTGTGGAGATGGGGATGGGGATGAGGAAGAGGAAGAGTGCAGGTGGCGGACCACCGCTGCAGGGGTCCCCGCTCTGTCTCGCTAGGGAGTATCCGAGAGACCACACGGAACAGGGTGAGCGTGTCTGAAGCCCCGGGAATCGATGCTGCCCCCTCATGAGAGCAGAGAAAGGAGAGAGGTGGAGGCTGATGTCTAGGGGACACGAACTCGGTGGTTTAATGAGCAAAGAAAGGAAGCCGGAAGGAGTGATGCGGGGAGGAGGATCCGGACACGGTGGTGTCTCAGGGATCACAGAAGGAAAGAGTAGTGAGAACCAGAGGCAGGGGTACAGGGCTGACTCCCCACCAGAAACTCGGCCGACTGTGAGGGGGATGGGCTGTGCCAGTTTGGTGTGAGCTTCTTTTCATTGGGCAGACCGCGGAGCTGAGTTTAAATCAAGATGGCAGCGACGCAGACAGGGCTAGAGGATGGTGGGAGGGTGCCAGGAACAAGAGAAAGGCTGATTCTGGGAGAGGGAGGGGCACCCTGAGCAGGTAGAAGGGGCGGATCCAGGGAGACCAGTCTGCCTTAGAAACCGGGAGAGACCGCAGGCTCCTGAGGCCAGGCTCCGGCTGGCCCGGTGTCCAGAGGTCATCGGTGTGGGAGGTGGTTTGGAGTATGTGCACCTTTGTCATGTCACGTCGTCTCTCATCCGTCACTGAGGCAGAATCTATCTTCCCTCCTGTGGACACTGCGATTTGCTTGATGTACAGGATGCAGCCGAAATAGTGCCGGGACTTCTGTGGCTGGGCCTTACAGGCATTGAAAATTACACATCCCCATTTTTGGAAATCTGTGAGCTGGACGCTGGGAGGAGACCCAGTGCAGCCTACTGAGGTGCAGGAGCCCTGTGGAGCAGAAGGCAAGGGGAGCTGCCGCCAGACATGGGGGTCAAGCTGCCTTGGCCTCTCCACCCCAGTTGGGCATCAGAGGTGGGCAGCTGTGTGCATGAGGACTCAGTTTCCTAGGCATGGATCTCGGAAAATAGTCAATACCGTGGTTCTAAGCCCCTAAGTGTTGGGGTACTCTGTACTTATGCAGCCACAGCTAGCTGAAATAGAGAGAATAAAGCTTTAATCTTGTGGTTTCCTCTCCCCCCCACCCCCTTCTGTATGGACACGCTGGCTGTGATCATCTGGTGAGAAGTGGGGGAAGAGGCGATCGGCAGTGGGCTTGTGGGGGGCGATGAAGATTTATACTGACAAGGCCCACGTAGCTGGCCGGGCAGCCCCCGTGCCAGGATGAAGATGAGGCAGGTCACAGCAGGCCAGGGATGTTGTCAAAGGTGTCCCTACAGCGGATGGGAGGTAGGCCTCCAAAGACTCTTCGAAGTCTAAGATTCTATCATCTGAGTAGAACGAATTGTAAGTGTGTCCAGAAGACCTGACTGATGGGAAAGCATGTACTATTAACTGGGGGACCATCTCAGGTAATCAATGAGAGGTGCGTCCCGAACAGCGCATTAATGGTAAAGTGACTGTGGGTTGTGAGCCAGGAGGGAGGGGAGGCCGTGGGCAGCTCAGGTGGAAGTGTGGGACTTGGTGAGTGAAGGCTGAGCCGGGAGCGTGGCTGGAACAGGGGTCGATCTCCCCATAAACTGAGCAGGTTGAGACTGGCCGCTAGTAGGCTCTGACAGACAGGCACAGTCTGGAGTTTATAATTGACTCCCAGGGCGACAGATAGCCCCAGTGCACGGCCATCAATGGAAATAGCCTGGTGTGGCAACAGGGACCGTGGCCTGCTGTGTGCTCTAGGTAAGCAGTGGCGGAGGTTTGCACGCTCAGAAAGTGGCAGGGGGCAGGCAGCAGGTTGGGGGCAGGTGGAGCTCGGGGGTTGGGACTGACAGTGAAGAAGGGGTTAACAGGACACAGCACAGGAAACCATTTGGTGCGTTTTCCTAGGGGCTGTTCTCATGCCAAGCCTGCAGCGTTGGACGCACGAGCATCTCACCACACGGTCCTCAGTGAGCCCTGCTTTCCTGAGCTGCATGAAACACCACGGTCCTAAGGAATTATCAGCATGGCGCTCACAGAATTTCAAGAATCTCCAGCATTCCCGATTCCTATTATCTTGCTCTTTCTTCTCTCACAGAACTTACCCCATTCGGACCTGTGATATAACGTACCTGCTCATTAAGTTCGTTACTTATTTTCGCCCCCTCTTCCCCGATAGAATATAAGCTCTGTGGTAGCAGGAATTTTCATGTTCACTCACACTCATACATCCTTGGTGGGTATAACAGCACCAGATACAGAACAGGCATTCGGTATTTATTAAAGGGAGTAGCGACTGCCAAGTATTCTAAGAATCTAAGTAAGACAGAGCTGGGGATTTTAGACTCGTGTGACCAGCTAAGAAGAGTTTCTGACCGGGACGCCTTCATCTCCATTTTAGAGGCTATGTGTTTGGAGTGAGCAGGATGCTGTACAGGCCTCCGTGTAACACAGGACACAGTTCCACAGGTCGGAGTTCCAGAGCAGCCTTGGTGTCCGAGGACACAGCCAGCTGAAAGTCGGAAGGCTGGGCTTCCACCTCCTGGCCCTGTGGCGCACTTGCTGTATGAAGCCTTTGGCCATCCATCCTGGTTTCCTGTTTGCAAAGTGAAGTTCATCAGAGTGGCAGCTGCCCAGACACGCGGGCCATTGGGAGGCCCAAGGCACACCGCTTCATGGACCATGGATATTGTTACTTTGACGTCTGACGCCAGGTTGCTTTAACTCATCACGTGTTATTTCTCTGAGATTTTTGCTTTCCATTTGAAATTATTGGAATGGTTTCTCAGCGGACTAAGAAGACGAAAGAATGTTCCAGATCTCATTACTGACTTCCAGAGAAACACCCATGAATGAGTGACACATCGTCACAAAAGGTCCCGTTGGAATAAAACTTCGTGAACTGAGAAGCATTTGCCTGTCATAACGGTCAGGATGACCGTTGTCATGTTTATTTGCAGAGGAGGTGACCTCTGACGACTCTGTCTCGTGTTCATGCTTTTTTTCACTGTAAAAAACAGCGGCCTGGAGACTGTTGTTCGGTGTGTGCGTCCTTCACGAACACTCCTTCCACCTGACCCTTTGCTGACGTCCAAGCCAAGTTACTGTGCAGGAGCTGAGCACCCCTGCCAGCCTGGTTTTAAAGAACAAGCGGCCCAAGTGTTGGTCCTCGTGGGGGGCGCAGTACCTGGTGGTCTCGCCGGCCGCTGCGCTTTCCGCCGCGACAGGCCCGAGTGTGGGAACGAGGGGAGCTGGAGCAATGACAAGTTTGGCAAAGGAAAACTTTCAACTTCAAAAGATATTCTAAGCAATGTAAAGTAAATATTATACTAAAATAGGTAAGAGAAAATTGGATAGAACCTTTGAAAGGGCTTTTTGCCGCCAGCTGGAGTAGGCTTTATGTAAACCACACATATGTGGGAAATGGCCCATCTATTTGCAGAGCCCCCTCATAACCCTGACCTGGCGTTCAGCTGGGTCCTCGGGGGAAAGGCAGGAAGCCAGCTGACTTAGGGATGGGCACTGGCTTGAGGATGGGCTACAGAGGTGCCTGCATCCTGGAAGCCTACTGTGGGAACCCAGGCTGAAGTCACGACGCCCCCCCAGAATGGCTGCGGGGGGACCAGTGGAAAGGGTGAGTCCACACAGGCTGGGGGGAGGGAGCAGAGGGCACCGTCGTGGGACGCCCACACTGCCATGCGTGCTCTCCCACGTGGCCCAGACCTAGCCGCACTGTCGACCGCTGCATCGGGAAACCTGTGCGGCACTCAGCACATTTCAGTTCTTCTCTCAGAGCGACAGCGTTGAACCCACAAGGCTCTTTGTGGCTTTTCTCCCAACCACACTGTGGTTCCGTGGTTGCTTCGGCTTGTGCGCAGCGTGATGAACGCCAGCTGGTCCGAATCAGAGAGATAATGTGTCCCGTGCTGAGAAAGCGTGGTTTCTGAGCCGAAGATATACAGGAAGTTGCACTTCACCATGAACTTCTGAAAGGGAAAGGGGGCATCAGGCTGCCTCTTCTGTTATTTTTTAGTTGTTTTGAAATCATTAAAGTGAGGTTTTTCTGATGTACAAATTGTACTTGCAATGAATGGGCCAACAAGTACTTCTCTCCCCTCGTCGGGTTTAGCCAAGATGCTCGCCAGGTCAGGATGATTTTTCAGCGACCTCAGGAGGATGCGCTTCCAGAACACGGGCTGTGGATATGATTCACGAAGGTGCCTACCTCCGAAGAAGAACAACAGGATCTGTGTTCGCCCACAAATATGTCGATTATTTTATAGTCCACTTCTCAAAGTAGATTGCAAACCTATCTGATTTTATAAACACTCACAGAACACCCAAACCTGCTTCTAAAATTCACTTTGCGTGACCAGTGCCTGGATCTTTGGAACAATATGCCGCTACCAGGCTGCCCCCACGCCGCCCCTTCAAGGCTTGGACATTTGGGTGTTTATGGTCTGCTCACTTGTAAATTCACATCGCTTTGGTTGCCCTGAGTTTTCACACCCTTTTCCATAAAATCACTGTAAACGTGGATTGTCAAAACGGGGTTAAAGCATCTGACAGCCACGTACACTCAAATGCTCACAGAGTCTCACACACATGTTCACAAGGAAAATGTGATACTGCACACATAGTCAATATCAACACTTAGTAAGAAAGCAATACAGTTCTAGTAAAGAACAACCATCGGGTGTGGAGAGACTTGAGTTCCATTTTTACTGCTGGCCTAAGTAGTTACCTTTCCCTAGGGGAGTAACTTAAAAAAAAAACACATTTTATTAAAATAAGAATGGCATATACTAAGCTGTACATATTTAATGTATACAACTTGATGAGTTTAGAGACAAGTATGCTCTGCAAAACCATTATCACAATCGATGCCATAAACATACCCATCACCCCAAAGGCTTCCTCCTGCCCTATTTGGCTATTATTATGATGATGATGATGTGATAAGAACGGAACATAAGAGAACAGGTCTGTGGTTACCAGAGGGAAAGGAGGCTTAGTGGCGGGGGGGGGGGAGGGGGACAGTGAAAGGAGTGAGGAGCATCATGTGCCCGGTGGTGAGCGGTAACCAGACTTTCCAGGTGATCATTTTGTAGTGTATGCAGATGTCGATTACAACGTATACCTGAACGCTGTATAATTTTAACAAGTCATAGAAATCATACCCAAAGTGAACTCATCCAACATCACAGTATTTAAAAGCATGTACATGAAATTCGGTAAAGGTGCCTTGGAAGTAGTAGACCAGACTGAGCAGCTCAGTGAAGCACCAAAAGAGAAGCCCAACGTTCCGTTGCCGTGGCAACGTTAACCCTTTCAAAGAGAGCACCTGGCCTGTCTCCCAACCCTTTCTGCAGAATGCCAGAACCATACTTGAAAGTGAGAAGGGTTCAAGAACACCTGCTGTGACAATGTAGTTACGGGAACCACACAACAGTTCTTTGGGTAAGGACCTTCCTTGGGGTCAACTCAGGCTTCACACATGTCAGGAACCACTTCCTTCAATATCGCCAAGAAACTTTCCTTGTTTTCCTTTGTCAATTTCCGTCACCAAATGATCGAACTGCAATTCCTACTGTGAGTGGTTCGTTCTGTTGAATTCTCATTCATAAAGCAAACTGTAGCCAAATAATGTTTTGCATTAGCATGTAAGAAAACTAAACAACATCAGCAAAACACGCTGGCTTACCATTTTCCTTCTTCATTTTCATACTGCTGCACGGTGTACCCGAACATGTCCTCCACGGGGCCGCTGAAGGTCATGGAGTTCTTCACGTCGACATTGAATGACATGCAGACGCTGAGAACAACTAGAAGAGAGAAAACAAAGCCCAGTGACACCGAGTTCACTAAGAGTCCACCATGTTTCAAGTTATGGAAGGCATTCTTGGGGTTATCAAGAAAGCAATGGCGGGTAAAGATTGAGGACTGCAACCAGGGTCTATGATAGTAACGGTATGCAGACCAGAAATCAGTGTAGGGTTTGAAGAGTGGAAATATTCACTTTCGAACACATCCCATAGAAATGTAGTATCTGTACCATTCCCAGAGCTTCAGGTTTGTGCAGGGGAGGTGCAGGAATGCACGCTCACAAAGGCGGCTCTGGAGAGACTTCCAGCAGAGCGAGGACCACTGCCCACGTGGCTGCAGGGAAAGGCGCACCGCTTCCTCCTCCAGTCTGATGAGAGAGAAAGGATCACCATTTAAATCGTGGGGGGTGCGGGGAGGGCAGCTTTCTCCTTGTTGTTTCCTGAGGGAAGGTGAGAGACTGTCTCCACCCAGAGAGGGCTTCCTGTGCAGGCCTGAGATGCGCTGTTTTCCCCATCAAGCTGCGGGCGGAAGGGGGAAAGCTCACTCTAATGCACTGAAGGCCCCTGCAGTGCCGGCGATGGGACCTCCACCCAGGCCGCTGCTGAGATGAAATCAGAGGCTGCGGCTACAGCTTACTCAACAGTGGGCACATGCTCGACTCAACGAGGATCGAGTCTCTTCAGTTTCCTTGCTGGTCAGGTAGTGGAAACGCTTCATGAGTGAGAGTCTCTCCGGAAAGGGTTCTGGGTGGGGCACACCCCACCTCTGGCGCTGGTTTTCACAGTGAGCGTGTGGAATTCCAAAGCATTCCCCTCTGAGGTATAGGTCGGAACTCTTCTCTAAGAGCAGGCTGGTATGAAATCGCGGGGTGGCAGAAGGTACATTCAGAGGTGGTTGAATCCACTCTCCTTTGTTAAAACCAGGGTTTAGCTACACGTACCCTGAAAAATCCTTTCCTTACCCACTGTACACTCTTTCATAAATAAAGTCTAACTCCAGATGCTAATTCATTCTGTGTTCTACTTCATAATCTTCAAGTTTGGGTAACAATATGAAGTGTTTCTTTGGTGCATAGAATCGTACATAGAGAAAATTTTGTTCTTAAAAACAAAAATATTTTAGCCCTGACTGGTGTAGCTCAGTGGATTGAGCTCGGGCCTGGGAACCAAGCACCCACGGTTCGATTCCCAGTCAGGGCACATGCCTGGGTTGCAGGCCAGTTCTCTCCTTCTCTCCTTCCTTTCCCCTCTAAAGATAAATAAATAAAATCTAAAAAAAAAAAAAATATTTTAATGAAAAAAAAAACAGATGCTTATGTATACCCATTTATAAAGTTTTCTTTGATCTCCTTACCTGAAAATAGTCTTTTAACTACTAAACTCTCCCCTTTTATTTAAAAAGTCTCTCATAGAGATAATTACTAAACACTATTGACACTGTATTATAGTTAGCTGTACGAGACTTTTTTCCTAGATTAGAAAATTCTTTTGTAATTTTTTAAAATTCATTTTTCAATGACAGTTGACATATATTATTATATCAGTTTCAAGTGTACAACGCAGTGACTAGGCATTCATATAATTTATAAAATCATCACCCCCCATAAATCTAGTACCTATCTGACACCATGCGTGGTTATTACAATACTATTTCATCTGTATTGCCTATGCTACCATGAACAGCCCATGACCATTTTTATAACTGACAACTTGTGCTTTTTAATCTCCTGAAATTTTTCACGCAGCCCCCTCCCATCTGGCGACCATCAGTTTGTTCTCTGCATCTCTGTCTGGAAAATTCTGTAAAGCAGGGGTTTGCTTACTCATCTTTCTTATTGCCTCTCAAAATAGCACAGCTCCTTGTGCACAGATGCGCAACAGCATCCTTCCAGGAGTAACGATAACAGGCCTGGGGAGCAAGGGTGCCAGGGGTAGTCAGAGATGAACCAGGAACAATTTCCTCTTCGTGAAGGAAGATTTTACGGAGATGGAAACTTTCAAGTTAGATCTTTAAGTGGAGGGAGAGATGTGACTTGGCAGTGAGGGGAACATGCGTCCCACGGACCTGGGAGGGTCTCTGCAAGTAATGAGACATAGAACAGGACAAATATGGTAGCGGGATCTGAGAGGGATCCGCCTGGCTGGCGTGGAAGACGCGGAGGGAGAAAGGATGGGCAGTGCGGGCCCATTTATGTACATTTCCTGTTCATGTCTCCAGGGTGACGGCCAACAGCTGGTTACCATCTTCTGCACAATTGCCTTTCATGTAGTCGAAGACAGTTTTAAACACTGCTCACTCTCCACTCCAAACTAAATAGTCCATGCCCCTACCCTTTCCTCACAGCTTTACTTCTATTTTTGAACACATTCAACAGATTGTTTTTGATATGAGAAACACGAAATAGTACTTCTACAGCAGGATTTCTCCACTTTGGTGCTCTCAACATTTTGGGTCAGAAAATTGTTTGCTACGAGGGGCTGTCTGGGGGCCTTGTAGGCAATTAGCAGCATCCCTGGCCCTGCCCACAGATGCCTCCGAGTTGTGAAGGTCAGAAGCATCTCCAGACAGCGCCTAATTCCCCTGAGCCCCAAATCACCTGAGTGGAGGACCACCATCCTGTGTATAAGGACCAGAACCCCACCACCAAAGGTTTTGTTGGAAGATGACCGGAAACCAAGGCAGCAGCATCCGCGTCGCCCCGGAGCTCCCAAAGGTCCAGAGTCTCAGGCCCACCCAGAGTTCCTGGAACAGCGTCCACACCCAACGACACCCCCGGGGAAGTCTGGCTCCGGGTCTGGGTTGAGAGGCGTGGATTTGTAACACAACGCCCCTGTTTCATGATGTTGATGCAGGTAACAGAACTTCCCTAAGTGAAAAGCACTCAGCGTCCTGTGGACCAAAGAGGAAAGGGGTTATCGCAAACCAAGGCCAACCTCAGCCCCCTGGAAGGATTTTTCCAGCACTTCGTTATCTCTAGTGCACGCTCTCCCGAGGGTGGGTTCACGGTGCCCTGTTGATGCCAGACCCAGAGCCCGTGGTTTCCTTTTTGGGCCTCTCTGTTTGTTCCTCCTGTTGTGCGGAATGTCCGGGGTGTGTGCTGCCCCTTTTCATTTCCTGTCCTCAGATCGCTCCAGGCTACTTGCCCAGAGTGATTGTAAATCAGCCTCTTTCAAGTTTGCTGAGGCACCCAGGAGCCTCAAGCCCAGGAGATGACAGAAAAAATAGTTTACATTTTGTTCTTTTGATTTAAAGGTGCGCATGAACAGTCAAAGCAGCTTCTTGTCGCTCTGCGTCGATGTTCTTTTTGTTACACCGCGTGGTCTACCGTTAAATCTCGTTATTATCACCACTGCACAGACCGGGAGGAGGCTCGGAGGGTGGAGAGATTCGCCCACATTCCCCAGGTTTCCCGATTCATTCATGTGGATTCAGTTTCCATAACTTAGCCCTAAACTGGGAAGGGCTAGTTGAAGGTCACACGAGGAAGGATTAATTAACTGATTAATTTTTAGAGAGAGGGGGAGGGAGGGAGAAAGAGAGTGAGGGAAACATTGATGTGAGAAACGCTGATCAGTTGTTTCTCACACACGCTCCCACCCCTGCTGGGGACCAGGCACACAAGCCAGGCAGGTGCCCTGACTGGGAATCGAACTGGCAACCACTTGGCTTTGTGGGATGATGCCCAACCCACCGAGCCACACCAGTCAGAGCTGACGTGACAACGAATTTAGGAGAGAGGGTGCCACCAGTTCTTGTGATTGTGTCTCCTGAGAGGCAGACCGAGGACAGGGCCTCTGCCTCAGTGGATGGAGGAGGCTGGCATGAACACACAAGTCCTGGCTACAGGCCTCTGGATGAGGCTGCTCCGGGGACTCCGGCCCAAACCCATGTTTGGGGAGAAAGAAATAAAAAAGCTCGCTCTTGTCCAAATATGGTTCTATGTGTATGTTATCTGTTTTACAGCTAAAAACCAAGGCGGAAGATGAGGTGGCTGGTATCCCCTGGGAAAGTGATCATTTGGCACAAATTCTTTACCCCAGGGCGGACGGAATGTGATGTGTAAGGCATCTAAATGAGAGAGGGAAATGGGGGGAGAAATAACCTAGGGTTGCGCAGTGTTTTCTGCTTACAAACATTTTCACGTGAATAACGGTGCTGAGCTGGTCAGTGAACTGTGGAGGGCAGGCCGCCCGGCCAGCAGTGGTCACTCTCGGGTGAGGAGACTGGGCCCCGGAGGGTTCAGTGATTTGTCCAGGACCAGGCTGCGTCAGTGGCAGGCGCAGGACTTCCACCCTGGCCTTCCGAGACCGAATCACAGACGTTTGGTGGCTACAGTGCTACTGAGTCAGTCAGATTAATAAAAAGAAAATGACTCAGGTCCACAGAACCCTCAAATGGTCCGTGAGAGCTTTAATCATCTTGTGGCTTTGGAGTATTTGAGTCTGGGACCAGCAGGAAGAGCTGAGTGAGGAGCCAAGACCGGGCACCTCCAGGTGAGTCACCGGGGCAAGGAAGGCTGCCTCCCCCCCTTCCTCCGAGCCCCAGGCACAGCCACGGCAGCCTCTTTGAGCGTTGGCTCCTCGGTGAGGAAGTCTGTCTTTCCGGGTGGTCTGGAAACTCCGATCTAGTGCAGTCCCACCTGGAGCACTGAATAGCCAATGGAATTGTGAACTGTTAAAATTCCAGGGCTAGAGGGTATCAAATAAATATTAAAATACTGTTGCTTTCTTTCAACAATTTCCTACACATTTATCCAATCTAGAAATAATAAGATAAATTAATGTTATATTTAGCATTTTCAATATAGTAAAAAGATGATACAGTATTAAGATTAGAAATAATAATTATATTATTATGGTTAATGATTTTTAGTACAAATTCTTTGGTAGATTAGGAAGATGATGCTCTTTAGAGATATATGAATGTGGGCTTAAACCTACCCCTCTCACTTATTCTCCCGATTAGTCAGACTCATTCAACCACACCACAAATATTAATG